TGTGCTAAAATTTCTTCATTTTCCTTGTTAAGAATCAGAGGTGCTAGTTTCAAATCCTTTTTAGTCTGAAATCTGTATGCTAGATATTGAGTAAGGTGGTTTTATTGTTTTTTGTCACTTTGAATAATATTTCTGTTCATGTTAAAAACAAAATCAACTCTCTGTATAAATATATCAGGTGACCGTTAAGGCCCATTGGCCTCTTGTTGGACTAACCGTTCTCCTGTATATGAAGCATTCCAAATTGTTATGAAATAGAATTTCTATATGTTAAGACGATATACTTATTTGTAAGGCATATTAAGATAAAATTATTTAAAAAGTAAAGCATGTCAGAACAGAATTATTGAAAAATATTATACATGCACAAAATATTTCACTTTCAAAAATACAAATTATCAGATACATCCTCACTTATTATGTCTTTGTGATCAGCAAATATTGTAATTTGATATGAAATATTACTTTAATTGTAACATGGTACTCTGGCATGACATGTATTATAATGATTTACCATTAGGTGACTGTCTAGCAGATCAGACTAAACACTCAGGTCTACCTTAATAACTATCTGAGGTGGCAGAGCTATGTTTGTGAATGTTGTTTATCAATTCTGTGTGGCTGTATCAAAATCAGACTCCTTAAGGTGGCAGTGCCCAGTTTAAGTAATACTGTGGTAAAAATGTTTCACAGGTGGCAGCACTGTATTTTAATGATCTACTGTACTGTGTTTCACCACCAGGTGGCAGCGCTCCAAATCCACTATACGCTTCACTGTTTGTCCCCTAGGTAGCATCACTTTATTTTAACATTCTGTTTTACTAAGTTTGTCCCAAGGTGGTGTAAAGGCACACAATATAAAGAATGTTAATCATGATAGACTTGCAGTAAAAAATATTATCATGGAAATGTGTTTAATGCATGTTAACATTGCAATACAATAGAGGTAAACATGTCTTGGAGATCATACATTGACAATCTTAAATTGGCGTGTAGTCATTATGATAATGCTGAAAGAACAATGATGGAACAAAGGGTTCATTGGAAGCAGTCAGAGGTCCCCTCCCTCAATCCTTTTCCCTCAACAGTCAACTTGTTAATTTTCCTTAAAGAATATTTAATTCATTTTCACTTCTCATTTAAAGTAACCCTTTCCCCAAATCCAGTACATTTAGTTTAAACTTTATTTTATTGTGGGTATACTATTCCAGTAATACACAAAATCCAGTACCCCCCCAGTAATCATCTAGGAGATGCTTAGTGTAACAATAACAACACCTAACGATATGAATTATAGTGATATCACTTTAAAAAACCCCAAAACAATGCAGATCTGAACATTATAACTTAGTAATAGTATGATATAACTGCTTCAAGAAATATCTACTAGTCAACACTTTGCCTGCTTTTATTATTTCGCAGACTTAGATTTTCATTGTTATCTTTCATCCTGATATTTGCAATTCAAAATGAAGAGTTTGGGGGAATTAGAAGCAGAACAATGGAGGACACACACATGGAATGAAGCAATTTCTATTTAAACCCATCTAGTATGCTGGAGGCTTTGTATTTATTGTCTTTGTTTAAGCAAGCTAGTTATCAAATTTACTAAATCGAACAAGAGAGTAACAACCTTTTATGATTACTAATAATATCTTATCAACCGTAGTTGTAAAAACACCCTATAGAGTATACATATTTACAGTATTCCTTAAAAATTGGTGCAGCCCTTTGTAAGATCTCAAACAAACTCCTTCCCAGCTACCGAAGCCTGATGTAACCATGGTAACTAACATGTCGCTATCCTATTCCCTGGCCTAGCAAACTAATCGGCAAGTACACATGATAGAACTTTAGTATTTAAAAGTAAGTGCTTTTTTATGTTTGTAAAATCATACTGTAGATGGTCAATGCAACAGCAAGTTAATTTTATCTACAAGAAATAATTACCAGACTTAATGGTATAAGGCACTGCAGAACTAAATGTGTGTATGGTAAAGCACTTAAAAACTTGGGCCAGAAAATGACGAGACAGTTTTGATATTTCTTTGATCAGTTATCGTTTTAGATCAGTTGGCCCATGTTGTGGTGACCATCCTTCCTTATTATTTTTATTATTTCATAAAACACCCTAGGACAATGGAATCACACAGATGTAATTGAGGTTGACACTTCAACTTCTCTTGATTGCATAATGAAAGAAGCAGGTGACAATACAGGTCTCATAGGACTGTTATTGAACATAGGGTAAAGGGTCATGATGAGTCAATTTTGATGGAAACCTCATTAAATTCCAAAAAGTAAGAGGTTTTAGGTAACTTGATTGATTTTGGGATGAATATGCCTCCCAAACCTGGTTCTTCCCATCATAGTCACACAAGTTCTATTTCAAGTAATGGTAATATTTTTCATTAATACTGGTTTCAACTTTCACAGGAAACAGTTCTGTATGTAGGGGGCAGCACAGAGCGGTTGCTATGGGCAGCAGACATGATGGATATTAAGAAGGAATACCGTGATGGTTACCATCATGAGTTTTCTGTCGATGATGTCACCAATTTCAGAGGATCAAGTAAGTGACATCAGTAGAAATTAGGATCTATGTTATTTGTATCTTTTGGTTGGTATTTATGATATGCTTGCCTTGCTTGGCACGTATTTGCCCCTTGTTTTAGACGTTGACTGAAGCGATTTCTCTGTCAACCTCTAAAGTAAAGTTTGTCAACAAAGTTTCACAGTTCGAACTGTAATTAAAATTCACAATGAAATGAAATGAATGTTTAAAATCAGCTGTTTGTAGATAATGCATGGGAAGTAACTCTGGCTCAAATTATTCCTTACAGAGGACCTAGACAGCTTCTTAACAATGGCTGAGAAGCAGAAAATTATACTCCATGAACTAGAGGCGGTCAGGGCCACAGAAGATGACACTGCTATAGCAGGCTATGAGAGGTTCAGACTGTTGTCTGGAAACAGCATCAGTAAGTATCACTAGTCCAATGTATTCATATCCTGAAAAATATGTGAATTTTAGTAAATATAGCACCAGCTGAGTATACAATGAAAAGGGGACTTGTTGTTACTGTAGAAAATATTTGTATGTACTGCTTCTTCTAAACTACCTGACTAAGTTTAATGAGACTCCGTACACATGATCAGTCCGTTCATCATGCACTTGTGCACTTCTATTTGTTTGACTGAGTTATTGTCCATCTTCATTTTGAGTATTTGTCTGAATAACATTGTACTTCTATTTGTTTGACAGAGTTATTGCCCTTCTTTAATTTGAGTATTTGTCTGAATAACACTGTACTCCTATTTTTTTGACAGCGTTATTGCCCTTCTTTAATTTGAGTATTTGTCTGAATAACACTGTACTCCTATTTGTTTGACAGAGTTATTGCCCTTCTTTAATTTGAGTATTTGTGTGAACAACTCCTAAACTAATGGATTAATTTTGAGGAATTGTAAAACTCATTATCAAATCAACAAAATTCTTTGTATTGCATTTAGAAACTATAAATAAAATCAATGAATTAGATGAACCTAAATCTCTTTTATGGTACTGTTTTGCTCATATGTATTTTTGTAGATTTTTGTGGAACTTGCTACACATAGTCATTGTTTTTTATCAATGCATTACACATTTGTGCAGTTAACTGACTTCATTTCAACCATCGTTTGGTTTGCGGTTGGGTTAGTTAGTCTGTCTGACAATTTGGCAGATGATCTGCTGTGGCTTTGTTAATTGAGGACTTCTGATAAAATAATTGCAGTAAAGAAATATGTGAGTAATGGAATCATTGCCAAGATGTACCCACTTCACGATGAAGAGGAGATCAAACGTCTCGGAGCAGAGTGGTACCAGCTGAAGAAGTTCGCGAACGAACAGCCGATTTGTAAGTAAACTAGCAAAAAAAGTCATTCGATAGACTTATTGCTCTTGATAAGATATGTATGAGAGCTTGTCAGTTTGTCATCTGTTGCTCTGTGTATATGAATGCAGTAAAGGTAATTAATCCAAAATGGTTATAGCTTGGTCTATATCAAATTAATGTTAAATGAATATAAAACAATGAAACTTGTCTAATCTGACACCTTTAGGACACAATGATTAAGTCAGATTAGATGGAATGTTTGAATGCACAGGTTTTGTCATTACAAATAAGACAACATCATTATGTTTGATAAGACAGGATATTAAAATATGAAAGGGTCAGATTAGACAGGTTGTACTGTATTGTGTTTAAAACAGATAAATTCAGTGCAAAAAAAATATTTACTAAGAATTGATCACTACTTTCAACTATTTAACATGAATGAGCCCAGATTTGATTTTCTTGCAGACCAAATCCGTGATTATTTTGGTGAGAAAATCGGCATGTACTTTGCTTTCCTGGGCTTCTATACAGTAGCCCTCATCCCGCCTGCCTTCATAGGGATTCTTTATCTGGTCACGTCATGGAAAAGCATGTACCGGGAGGCCATCTTTGCTGTCTTCAATCTCATCTGGGCTACAATTTTCCTGGAGGCATGGAAACGTTACTGCTCTGAGTTGTCGTTCAAGTGGGGACAGGCTCAGGACGTGGAACTTAACCGATCACAAGAGCCACGAGCAATGTATCATGGCACCATGGATAAAAACCCTGTGACAGGCAAGCCAGAGCCACGCTATCCAAAGTACAAACGGTCGCTGAGGTTCTACGGAGTTACAGTTCCTGTTGTTGGATTCTGTCTCATGGTGGCGTTCTATCTCATGTTGGGATATTTTTATTTACAGGTAAGTTTTGTTTTTTTATTATTTTTTTGACTTGTACTAAATAAAAGAATTATTTGTTCAAGAAATAATTTAAAACTTTTTGACGATATTTATTTTTTTGTCACCTGCAAAGCAAAGGTGATCTAAAGGGATCAAGTTGTTGGTATCATTGTAGACTGGCTACCAGCCCCTAAGTTTTTATGAAGAATTTCTCAATTGTAGTTTACTACTAGCTTATTGCCCTATAGTTCAGAACTTAGAATCTGGAATCAGACATCCAAGTGATGAAAATTATTAAGGAAATGCTTTCTAAATAGTTCAATATTCTAGAGACGGGGCCTGTCTAGCATCAACAGTTTTCATGTGGTAACTCGGGAAAGAATGCTTTGATTTTCACACATGCTTATAGTATCAATTATCTGCTCAAGTTCGAACCCAAACGGAAAAATCAACATGGTTGCTGAGTGGGGGCAGGCGACACATATAATTCTATGGAATTTCTTGTCTTTTTCAGGTTAAAAGTAAATTGTATGTATGTGATAAATAAACATTAATTAACATCCAGATTATAGCTAGCATACATCCTCCTCTCTTTGAATAAATAAATGTAAAAATGGTTTGGCGATAAAAAAATATAAACCTGAAAGGTCAGATAGAATTTCATTGATTATTTCATTTTTGTTAGGGGGGAGCGGGGAAAAAACCCAATCAATAATTCAAATAAACAAACCAGATACACATATGGATCCTGGTACTTAAAGCTAAAGATAATACAAAGACTGACAGGTTGTGTACAGGATAGCAGTCTTCTACTCCATATCACATCTACTTAGAAGTTGTTTAGCAGCAGAGGTTGATCTGTGTATTTACGTTTATTGTCTATCCTTATGTTTGTTCAGGCATGGGCTGATGAGGTGTACGCCAAGGACAAGACGTGGCTGAACATGACTTTAATCTACATGCCCACCGCTATTTACGCAGTCATCATTGGCATTGTCAACAATTTCTACAGGAAGATCGCCAAAATACTCAATGATTTCGGTATGTGTGTATGTCATTGAATGTTGAACTCCTATTTTTCTCAAAAAATATGTCTTGAACTTTGATTATAAAAGTAAAAAAAGAATTCATCATTACTGATGGTAACTGATTGAAGTTACTATTTACTTGGCATTATCTCCCTTTGTACTGGCAGTTACTGTAATTTGGGGGTTTTAGGAGAAAATATGCTCAGCATTTTCAGTTCGACATTTTCCCTTGGTCATACATAGAAAAAGTTCAGATCTCCATTCTATAATCATACAAATGCTAGCTTGGCATGAGGAAAGTACACAATTACACTACCAGGATTAGCTAGCCCCACCCCTCGGGACATAGTCCCCAGGGGTCGTAACACAGGCCCTGTATGTTTAGTCTTAATGTACCTCTAACCATATACACAAATATATAGATCTCATTCCAATTTAGTATGAAACATAATTGCTCATTGAGAACTTGCAATAAGTTGTTACATAAAGGAAGAGTGTAGTTTTATTACTTGGCTTTGGGGAGATTAAGGTCCAAAATGGTTAAAATTTTGGTTTTTAAGTTTTTAAAAGCCTGCTACATGACTATTTACCTGACCAGTTTATCATATTCAACCAAAGAAGTTATGAAATATCCTTGGCACAACGAAATCAAATGATATATAAAAGAAGGATGTACCACTGGATGCTTTGAGGCAGAGCCCAAAATGGGAAAATACATTCAATAACACTTTTAATGCTTAAATATCCATGTAATCGGTACAGGTCTATCGAACCCCTTGTTTACTGTACATCTTTGATCGGAGAGATACATTGATTTTGTCACTGAGCTCGTTTGCAGAGCTTGGGAATTGGTAACGCACCTGTTTCTACCTGACCAAGTACCATTTTATATGTGATACCATAAAAACTACAACAATCCTTGGTTTACTCCCTTTATTAAGCTGTGTGGGGTATACATGGTAAATACATAAAACTTGGCTAGTGGGTTGATCATTATGGATATTTGTATTTCTGTAGCAATATGATAACAATAAACTTTGTTAGTAAAGTATTTGTGTTCTAGATTTAATGTTTATGGTCATCAATTTGCTGTATGCTAGAGCTAAATGAACAAATGCTTTGTCTCCCCAGAAAACCATCGACTCCAGTCTTCCTACGATAATCATCTGATCGTCAAACTCATTCTGGTATGCTAAGCTTGATCAGTTATCCATTATGTTGTTAGGAAAATAAGAAATTAATTAAATAAAAAAAATAAAAATAAGAAAAAACTGGTTGAATTAAAAAGATCAAATAATTTTGGAGCGATAATAAAGTCAAGAACTTTTTTATCAAATGGATTTGTTTGTTTTTGTCAATAACTATATAACTATTTATGTAATGAAATCAGGGAACATTTCTTGAATGATGTGATTTATTTTTTATTTGTTTTTTTACAGTTTGATTTTGTCAACTGTTTCATCTCACTGTTTTATGTGGCATTCTACCTTCAAGACATGACACTCCTCCGCAGTGTAAGTTATCATTTGTTGAACTGTAATAAAACCAAGACATGACACTCCTCCGCAGTGTAAGTTATCATTTGTTGAACTGTAATAAAACCAAGACATGACACTCCTCCACAGTGTAAGTTATCATTTGTTGAACTGTCATAACACCAAGACATGACACTCCTCCGCAGTGTTAGTTATCATTTGTTGAACTGTAATAAAACCAAGACATGACACTCCTCCGCAGTGTAAGTTATCATTTGTTGAACTGTAATAAAACCAAGACATGACACTCCTCCGCAGTGTAAGTTATCTTTTGTTGAACTGTAATAAAACCAAGACATGACACTCCTCCGCAGTGTAAGTTATCTTTTGTTGAACTGTAATAAAACCAAGACATGACACTCCTCCGCAGTGTAAGTTATCTTTTGTTGAACTGTAATAAAACCAAGACATGACACTCCTCCGCAGTGTAAGTTATCTTTTGTTGAACTGTAATAAAACCAAGACATGACACTCCTCCGCAGTGTAAGTTATCTTTTGTTGAACTGTAATAAAACCAAGACATGACACTCCTCCGCAGTGTAAGTTATCTTTTGTTGAACTGTAATAAAACCAAGACATGACACTCCTCCGCAGTGTAAGTTATCTTTTGTTGAACTGTAATAAAACCAAGACATGACACTCCTCCGCAGTGTAAGTTATCTTTTGTTGAACTGTAATAAAACCAAGACATGACACTCCTCCGCAGTGTAAGTTATCTTTTGTTGAACTGTAATAAAACCAAGACATGACACTCCTCCGCAGTGTAAGTTATCTTTTGTTGAACTGTAATAAAACCAAGACATGACACTCCTCCGCAGTGTAAGTTATCTTTTGTTGAACTGTAATAAAACCAAGACATGACACTCCTCCGCAGTGTAAGTTATCTTTTGTTGAACTGTAATAAAACCAAGACATGACACTCCTCCGCAGTGTAAGTTATCTTTTGTTGAACTGTAATAAAACCAAGACATGACACTCCTCCGCAGTGTAAGTTATCTTTTGTTGAACTGTAATAAAACCAAGACATGACACTCCTCCGCAGTGTAAGTTATCTTTTGTTGAACTGTAATAAAACCAAGACATGACACTCCTCCGCAGTGTAAGTTATCTTTTGTTGAACTGTAATAAAACCAAGACATGACACTCCTCCGCAGTGTAAGTTATCTTTTGTTGAACTGTAATAAAACCAAGACATGACACTCCTCCGCAGTGTAAGTTATCTTTTGTTGAACTGTAATAAAACCAAGACATGACACTCCTCCGCAGTGTAAGTTATCTTTTGTTGAACTGTAATAAAACCAAGACATGACACTCCTCCGCAGTGTAAGTTATCTTTTGTTGAACTGTAATAAAACCAAGACATGACACTCCTCCGCAGTGTAAGTTATCTTTTGTTGAACTGTAATAAAACCAAGACATGACACTCCTCCGCAGTGTAAGTTATCTTTTGTTGAACTGTAATAAAACCAAGACATGACACTCCTCCGCAGTGTAAGTTATCTTTTGTTGAACTGTAATAAAACCAAGACATGACACTCCTCCGCAGTGTAAGTTATCTTTTGTTGAACTGTAATAAAACCAAGACATGACACTCCTCCGCAGTGTAAGTTATCTTTTGTTGAACTGTAATAAAACCAAGACATGACACTCCTCCGCAGTGTAAGTTATCTTTTGTTGAACTGTAATAAAACCAAGACATGACACTCCTCCGCAGTGTAAGTTATCTTTTGTTGAACTGTAATAAAACCAAGACATGACACTCCTCTGCAGTGTTAGTTAACTTTTGTTGAACTGTAATAAAACCAAGACATGACACTCCTCCACAGTGTTAGTTATCTTTTGTTGAACTGTAATAAAACCAAGACATGACACTCCTCCACAGTGTAAGTTATCTTTTGTTGAACTGTAATAAAACCAAGACATGACACTCCTCCACAGTGTTAGTTATCTTTTGTTGAACTGTAATAAAACCAAGACATGACACTCCTCCACAGTGTAAGTTATCATTTGTTGAACTGTAATAAAACGAAGACTAGGCATGCCTTCACAGTTTAATTGAATTTTATATTTGTTGTATAAAAACAAAACATGACATGCCTTCACAATAAGACTAAATTTTGTAATTGTTGTGCTATGATAAATACTGTGTATTGGAAAATTTAACTTTTGCCTTTTTTCTCTCCACAATGGGGGCAAATTTATCATGACAACAAACATTACTACAAAATATCCCATATATACTTATTACACATGTTAATAATAATGATTTGAGGTTCTTTTATACCGCTTTATCACAACCTAGTTCGTAGGTCGTCTCAAAGCGGTTCACAAATGAAGGGCAGAATTTACGCCGTCCAAAAATGTATTTGAGTGGGTGAAAGTTTCCCATACTAGAGAAGTAATACCATCTTTAACACTTAACAAGCCAATTAAAAAATAATTAATGAAGTAATAATAAAAATGAAACTAAGTTTTCTTGACAAGTTCAAATTTAAATATTTTGTGTTAAATTGTAGCACCTGGCAGCCCTCCTGGTGACCCAGCAGGTGATTGGCCAGGTGAGAGAAGCAATGGTCCCGTTCATCTTCGTCCGCCGTAGGAAACAGCAGGTGGATAAGGTGATGCAAAAGGAAGCAGCCATACAAAAGGTGGAATACTTCAACGGGGAGATGGACCAGACTATACAGAAACAGGTCAACCTGGAATCGACGATGGACGAGTACGAGGTAAGGTGAACAAGTTGTCGGACTCTCCAGACAAAGGGCGCTCATTTATTGCAGAATTTTTCAGTGCCACCAAACAATTTGAACCAGGATGCACAAAAACAACCTTAGACAACCATGTGATGTGTACAGTTGCTTTCAATTCTAACAGACTAAAGAAAAACTAGAATGATAAGGACCATTTAGGATTGTATTCTTTTGTTTTGACCTTTTAAGGGCACAATGGACGATTATCTGGAAATGTTCCTCCAGTTTGGCTACGTTTTCCTGTTCTCCTCCGCCTTTCCTCTGGCTGCTTTCTGGGCTCTGCTCAACAACGTCACCGAGATCAGATCTGATGCATTCAAGATGTGTCGAGTGTTCCAGAGGCCGTTTGCTGAATCAGCATCAAACATTGGAGCGTGGCAGGTTCGTAAAGAGTAGACCTTGTGTTTGTAAGAGGCAAAACAAGGAATTATAACTAGAAATGGAAAATAAAAAAATAAGTATATCAATGCAGAGAGCCAAATACAGTAAACATTTTGTGCATCATTCATCCGTCTGCTATTTTGATGACACATGTACAACTCAAACTGTATATGTCCTTTCTCTGTGTCAATGGACCTTTGCTACTTATCCTCATTTACTGGTATAGGATATTTTGAAAAATCCAGCTTGACATTTGACTTGCCAAGATATTTTCTACTATCCCTCAAGAACAGTTGGTTTTATTTCATGTTGGTGCATGATCTTTTACAACTATTTTTTTGATGACAGGTTGCCTTTGAGGTTATCAGTGTCATTGCTGTGATCACCAACTGTGCCTTGATAGGAATGGATCCGGAGGTGAAGAAACTGCTACCTTCAGACATCAGTGCTGTAAACATTGTCATCATCTTTGTTGCTGTCGAGGTAAGTAAAGTTCATGTAGATAACATAGATTCCACTAATTAGAAAAAAAATCTTTTATTTATATTTGACCACTTATGCTAAAATAAAAAACGTCTTCTGCAGCATGTGGATATGACCCCTCACAAACACAACATGTACAGTATTATCAGGTAATCTGGTTTTAGGTTATAATACCTACCTGTGACTTGTGTTTACAAGTTAACCATGGATATGATGCATATTTCATTTGTTACCTTTAAATTGAAAACCCCTCAGAGTTTGTAAAAATAATAATAATAATAATAATAATATACAACATTTGATATAGCGCCCTATCTAGCTAACATAAGCCACTCTAAAGCACTTTACAGTACATAGATATACAATTTTATACAGTCAATACAATTAGCATATATATAAATCAATACAATATAGAAGAATTCGCAGGAGCTGCCTTATCAGGCGCTAACTACTAGCCCTATGCCACCTGGCTAATATCTCCCTATGTGTGTATGCCTGCGTGTGTGCTGGAGATGTATTGTGTTCTGTTTGAAATGGGGCCGTGCTTCCAACGGTATCATTCATAGTGCCACCTCACTTGAATGCTACAGCACAGATACCGCAACACCCACCCCAGACCATTTTATACTCCACCTGGGTTGTTCGAGTTGTCTGGGCAGGAGAAAAAAACTTTCTCTAATATTCCATGCGTACGGCAACTTCGGGGAACCCCGGCCGCCTGCTTGGAAGGACGGAGTGTTAATCACTCGACCAATCCGCCCACAAAATTAATGCCAATATTTTGGTAGCAAAAACAAGCTGTAACTGTTTAGTATCTTCTCTTCATCTGTTGATTCAATTTAATATTTATCTTGTTTCAATTTTGCCAGTATTGGTTTTGTATTTTGTTTTGAATTAATCTATCATTCTTCATTGCTAATTTTGTACCTGATATTTGCAGCATGTGATCTTGGCTGTGAAGGGAGCGGTGGCCTATTGTATCCCCGATACACCCAAATGGGTAGAAATTGAACTGGAGAAAATGGCTTTCCAGTCCAAACAGGCTCTACATGCTGAGGTAGGTCACTGTCACACTTGTACTCGACTCACCGTTAAACACAGCTAACTCAGAGGAACCATAGAGTTGTTCAGGGCATCTAGTGTATGTTGGGTCAATTTATTGTGTTGATAAGATATTTTCACAATTTTACTTACAATAGGCTGTTGTGTTCAAAGTAACTTTGTGCCATTACATCTGCAACAATATAACTTTCTTTTGAAATTGATGCTAGAATATATGTCAAACAATTTCCTTTGTCATTTTAAAACTGATAATGCCCTGGAGCAGTGAATGTTTGTTTACCATATATTTGATATAAATCAAGAAAAAAAGATATTTTAACATTGAATGGAAAAGTTTTGCAGTAATCATATGGAAATCCTATTTTTATCACAGAAGTTTTCAGGTAAATTATCTCTAAACATTTCGAGACTAACAAAAGTTCACTCATACCAGTAAACTATTCAAAGTGGTCCATAGAGTCAGTTTGGGCCAAACAACACTAGGAAAAGGCATTCACTGAAAGAAATAATGAACAAAGTAAAAAGATGAACAAAAATCACAAAAATGCAGAAAGCATAAAAAACAATCAAATTAATTGTTTATGTACATACCAAGGTACTAGTAATTAAGTCCCCCAGTTGAATTAGGGGACGTGTTGATTTTACTGTTTTTCTTGTTATCTTTTTTTTTCTGTCAAATGGTTTATTTATATTCAATTTTCCGCTCATTCATCATACATGGCTACTGTGGCCTATAATTGACATATGTATGGGTAATGGCCAAGGTGGTGCCATTGGCCCCTCTCTTTTTCTGATTCTACTCCAACTTAATATGTTGAGTATTATGGCAATGCAAGATCTTTCAAAAACATCATTTTTGACTCTTTCCAGTTTGGGGCACGGCTGTGATGGTCATTGTTACAATTCAAACTTGTAATATCAATGGCACAGAAACTTTTTAAAGATGGTAAATCATGAAATCTCTCATACTTTTGTTTAAAACTGCTGCATAATTAATGCTTTAACTTCATAAACTGTATACCAAGAAACTTTTCCCGCGTCAAATATTTGCCCTTCACAGGAAAATTGATATTCACCCAATGTGAGTTTTGCCCTTTACATGTAGTTACTATATAGGATATACTGTGTACAAATATTTGCTGTCTTGATACATTCTCCCTCATCGTGGTTGGTGAAAAATGAGAAAATTGAATTGCAATGTAAATTTTCTAGCATACAGTAGTTCATTGCAATCATGACAATAAGGCCGATCTTCATTTCAGAAACAATAATGTAAGAGTGAAATGTAGGTATGGCCTGTGTATGTACAGTCACACATGTAAAAGGTACGGGGTAACTTAGGTCAATTAGAAAAAAACAATATTAATTTGGGTGGAACAGGACACAAAACCAGAGTAGATTGAATAAGATTTTCAGAGTAGATTGAATAAGATTTTCTGTACTCTTTTGTGGAGCAGGAAGTAGTAAACAAAACGAGTAGATAGTGTTCAATTTGTAAATTCCTTTTCAGGTTTTACCTTTTGTTTCTTTATTTATCCTATATTTTTTTTTTAGTTTTTTGTGTGTTTTCTTGCTTTGTTTAATTAGGTTTGTTTTTCATGTTACACATTTCTAATCAGACCTCTTTCTGTCATTCATAAACCTATAACAATTTAACATTATACAGTACATTCCACTTAATAATCATTCCATCGCTTTGTGTCACTTGTGAAGTATTGGATAAACATGCAAGGAGTTTGTTACAACCTTAATATGTCAATCTTAATCATGATGTCACATGAAAATATTTTGTTCTGGTATCATCTGTTTTGACAGTCATGATTTATATGATAATTGTTTTTTTGATTGGAAACAGGAATCGTGGTTTTCATGATAGATTATGAACTTCAAGTGAGAAAAAAGGCCCCCAACCTCATGTCGGCTGCTTATCATGTTGTTATATTCCAAATTGTACAAGGAGACTCAATAAACTACATGTTTTCCACTTTATTTAATGACATAAACATGGTTATAAACATCACTAGTTTTGATCCTTATCCAAAACATTTCTAGGGAATATTTACTTGTGTTTGGGTACAAGACCTGGAGTTCATACCCAGGGGGTCGTTTAATTTGTCAGACAATACATTTTACAAACAACCAATAGTTGCCATTTACCGCACCTCAGGCACTGTCATCAATGAACTTGTCACCACACCTTTATCACTGGTTCATCTCTGATGATAAGGAACTTCAGATAATCTTGTGTCAATGTTTAATTATTTGTAGTCAAATGTCGCGTTATACAATAGATCTTGATTTACATAAAGCCACATTTCTTTTTCTAAAATGGCAAACATATGGACTAAATTTCTGTTTGGTTGTATCTGATTTAACATCTTTACAACATCCTAAGGTCATGTGAAGAAAAGTACCTAGTAAGACAAATCCAAAAAGGAAAGAAGAGTTGGTAAGAGTGTTACAATGGGGGCAGCATATCTGTATTGGTTTCTTAAGTGTCCTCTATACAAAAGATAGAAAAAAACACCGATTATGCAGGGGGCTCCACATCAGTCGCCTCATACGACTTGCAGTGGGTTACAGCTGATCTCATCTTTCCCCTCCCCTGCATAGGAACAACCAATAGAAGTTTATTTTAAAAAAAATCCATCTAAAATAATCTTTTGTTTTCTAGGTCATTCCCCATGAAATGAACTTCAAATTCTTCTGTTCTGTCATGTTTGTTTTTACATTGCTTACACAAATATAAGATATATAAGTGTTCTGTGTTTCCAAATGATTGTATAATATTGGTGTTTATCACAGGAAAATATACCACAGGGTTTAATCAGTTAGACAGTCTTGCAGGTCAAAATCAATACGGAAATCACACACTAGGAAGACAGGATACATTGAATAAAAAACGTAGGTCATAGTAAATCTCCGCGAAGAAAAACCATTTCTTCAACAGATCTAACAACCATCTTTTTCTTCTTTCAAATTCAGGAATGGATACATTAACACTATAAGAGAACTATAATACAACTGAAAAATGTCAGAAAACCACTTCTTTTAATGTCATTTTTCATTTAGTATCGTATTTGGTCGATCAAGAAAACGTGAAGCAAGTGATATAAAAGCTGAATGTACTGTATTGTCACAAAGTCTGCGTCCTGTAACCATTTATCTAAATTAATTCCTTGAAAGTTCATAATTTTCTTTGGCATTAAAAAGAATGTACCCTATGACTTCAAACATCTAATCCCTTTTAATCACCATTTGACTTTTCACCTTAATATATATATATTTCCGTTTTTAATACCTAAGAATTCTTAAAATGAAACAGACTTTTCCTATACAGAATAAAAAAACATGTATGAAGAACATTATTGTTTCATTTTTTGATGTTTTAGAAGTCGAGATCATGACAGAATGCTTGTAGGTAGTATATGTGTATACAATCAGGTAAGGTTGACTCAGGACCCTCTATGTCAACTACTGCTAGCATCCACCTGTTTATGTATCCATGTGCCGTCAACAGCAAACACACTGTGTCTTAGGCTGGAAAGTTTGGTCTGTTAAAATGGTCATTTCACTTGAATTATTTATTCAAAAACATTTTGTTTTTGGTTTGCTGTGTTGGAGGCTGAATGAGGTTCTGTTTTAAAATAAATGACTCGGCTGTATGAAATTGTCAATGGACTGGAAAACAATTCAAATTTGTGAGAATCACATGCAAGTTTTAATAAATCATCACTGTAGAAATATTAAGGTAAAATAATCAGTCAATATAGATTATCATAATGTCCAATTAAGATTCGTCAGCGAAAGGGGGAACATTGCTTGTACAACACTTTATAATATTCACAAATGTTGGTTACATTCAACACGCAATTATATTGTTATGGCAATTACTAAATGATATGTGCGGTCTATTGGTTTCTGCCATCTAACAACGGTCAAGTGAAAAAGATCTAGGTGAAAGCTTTTTTCTTCAGTAAACTCTCAGTATAAGTTCATTAAGAAAACAGGCAATTAATGCTTTATTGATTTATACAGAAAAATCTTGTAGATTGAAGTTTTACATCACGATTGTGTTTTTCACGTGTTTCTCAAGAGAACCCTATTTTTTAAATCTAAAAAATGACCTTTTTCAGACCAAACTTTTTCTGCCTGTCTCTAAAGCAATCACCATCTCCTCCTCATCTAATGTTGACTTAGACTGCCGTCTACCCTTACATCACCTTTCCTGTGGAGATCTCAACTGTGATGTCCTTCACATTTATTTCCCTGTGTACTTTTTTGGTTGAGTCACATTTTTTTGTTTTACTTATGTTGTATGTCACTTTATCTTCCTGTATTTTCCTTATTTCATATTTTAAAATGTTGATGAGATGTAAAATGTCATTGTTTTGTAGAGTCGGGTTTATTAAAGTATTGAATGACATGGTAACTTATAAAACTGACAAGCTTTCAATATATTTCCGTTATTCTGGTTGTTACATAATAATATCATGACCACTTCCAACACAGAAAGACAATCAAAGATTAAAGTACATTTAAGCTTGGGCTGTTATCACAAGTTCTTTTAAAGTGTTATACAACAACAAAAGGAAGCTAGATAACCTGTGTCTTGAGTTTTGTTTTTCTCGATGCTCTTTATAAATTCAATTGAAGAAAAATATTTTAAATTGTCATATTCTTGAAGGAACCATGTCGGTCAAGGGAGACTCGATGTTTAAAGAAATTAGGTATTGAGGGATCACAGATACTTCATTCGGGGTGTAGCAATGTCCTTTCCCAAACTTAGAGACCAATTAGAGTAGATTTGGTATGTTTAGTATGATCGGCAGTTGCATTTGATTTGGTTTAACGGGGTAAGCGTGATTTAAGAATGTACCTCCATCGTTTAATGTAAGCGCGTATGTTTGCTGGAGGTGGTATGTTGTGTATTTGCCCATAAAGGAGTGGATTTGATGCAATATTTCTTAAACAAACTATGCTGAAGGCACCCAGCTCATCATTCCATCCGGGCATACTGACAACGAACATGTTTTGTTTAGGAAATTGAGATCAGTTCACACGAAAATATTAAGGATATTTGCTACTTGTTTTTTTTGTTTTGTTTTGTTTTGTTTTTTGGCAAATCGACAAGTCATTTTATGGCAAAACAACACTTCAAATATATATTATCAAAACGGAATGCATCAAACCTTAACTAAAAGGTTGCTGGACAATTGTATTTTTAATTGCTAGTCAAAACAATGCACATAGATTCTCACCATTGCATGTAGATTTAGTATGTTAAATTATTGAAGTTTACACATTGTTGGATGGACTGTCGAAGGCTAGATTAATGTTATTTCTTTGGGTTGGGTTTTATATGACATGTTTTGTGTTTGTTTGAATAATTTGATTTAGAAACAAGTATGCATACGATCCAATCTCCATTCATCAATATACTTGTGAAAATGAAATCAAAATAATGGAAATTGGTCATGGTACCAACAAGCTACTGTGAGATATATATTGTACTTTAACGAAATTCATTATGGCAAATTTAAGGTGTCATGCAGATGAAGTGTCATAATGATAGAGTGTAAGACTGCTGAAGTGTCATGTTGATTAAATGTCGTAATGTAAAGCTTAAAAGGTGTCATACTGATAAATAGGCTTCAGTACTCTTTCTGTTTGGTACATGTATCTATAATATGCATTCATCTCAATTTTTTCCATGTACAAGAATCGTGCGACTAACCTTGTACTCGTTCGGAATTCTATTCTAGTCTTACTCCACTTGCATGTGAAATAGGCATTTAAATATGGAGTTGAATGTTGATGGTGGAGAAATAATGGATGTAAAGAAGTATTCTGACCTTTGACACCATTCCATCCGGTCACATCATTACTTACAAGGAACGTGTTTTGGATGTTTAGGATTGACATCAATATTACTCAGATTTACCCATTCGTTGTGTCAAACTTAACTAATAATTAGCAATGAACATCAAAATTGCTGTATAAATATAAAACTATCTCATTCCTTCTCTAAAATTAGCCTTAAATATCAAAGATACCGTATTCAAATGTTTCTTGCATTTTTTTTCCTTTACAGAGAATGGCTGCTGCATCAAGTCAACAGAAGAAGCTAGGAGATTTGCTCAAGCTGGAAACCAGAGAAACGTCCATTTAAGTTTTAAACTGTCTTCCTCGCTCTCCTTATTCTTTCAATTATTGTTTCGTATTGTTATATAGTTTCTCCTTGTTCTTCATGAATAGTTCCGTACGTTTATGATAGGTTGAAAAAGCTTTATAGAACAGTTATACTTTATATTACCTTGTTGTTTAATAATAAATATTTAAGAAATGTAGTATATAATAATATATATATAACACAGATTTAACATTTTGATAGAAAGCAGAACTATTTTATTAAAAACATATCTTACTGATTGTTATTATTTGTTTCCAAATTGAATATTGCATATATTCCTTACCTTGTTTTCTTCTGTCTGTTAATTATCTGTATTGAAGTTTAATATATTGTGTTGTGAAAATATCTTTTAATGTAATTGAGTGATACAGTGAACAACTTCGGACTTTTATAAGGTACAGATTTACAGTTGTAATTTAAAATCGTTGTCAAGCTTTGGTTTAATGACATAATTGACGGTATTATAAATATAACATTTTATTTAATCAACAATATTTAGAAATGTTTTCATAATTGCGGAAGAACAAACTTTCAATGATCTGATCTGTAGGCTGCCTAGGTTTTGATTTTTTACCTTAATTGTTACCATATTGTTTATACATTTCTGTTTATTTCAATTATAATATAAAATAGATACATATACTACTGCCATAATTACTTTGTTAAGTACACAATTATTTCCTATGAAGCCAACGTAATGTTTCAGAAACATGAATCAGTTACTGAATTTCTATTTTCATATATGGTTCTATCATAATAACAGTTTAAATCACTTACAAATATAGTGGTTTCTGTCAGAGGGATTTCTTCTCATCACAAGGTTTCACTTTCACCATGACAAAATGTTTGAATAATATATCAAGACATGTATATTTCACATGTGTTTTACTGAGATTATAAACGGACTGGAGTTATATATGAGTTGAACCTTTGCAACGAAACGCAAACCATGATCAATACAAATGACAAGTGTGACATACATATTAAGCGAAGGTTTGAAATACAACGATGGTTTTTAATAGTAAATAATCGAATCGAAAAAGATCCAAGGTAAAAAAAAAAAATTAAGTATATATATGATACAATTTAATCAATGGAATATCTGTTTCAACATTTTTTTTTTAATCTGTCTCTTAATTAAGCAGTTATGACAGGTGGATATACATGGATAATTGATAGCAACATCTTAACAAAATTGATGTGTCTTCCATATCCAGTTTTGTTTTGCTCACACAACGTAATTATGAAGATTGAGCATCCGTACTACCGTACTAAACATATGACACGGCCAAAGTTGGTAATGCAATATTAAAATTTATAATGCTTCCTCTTGTAATTGATTTTCTAATTATTATGGGAAAGGAAGTTATGTATATCACACTATTTCTTGTGTAGGAAACATTTTAAGGTTGCTAATTTAAGGTCAATAGGGTACTCATTAGCTGATATACTTCCCCCAGCTGTTTATAGAACAATCAATCATGATTGTACGTCGAAGATGAATGCTCACTAGATACCTTGTCTACAGGTATTGTACATCACAGAAATTATATTTTTACGGATTTTTTTTTATCAATAATTGACACGGGTACCTTCTTCAGAAAAATAAGTGTTTCAATGCCTTATTAAAACCATCAAGAAACTCTGTGTAAAGTGTTAAAATAGTATAAAATTGTACTATGTTTCTTTTGTAGGTTTAGATTAATAGATTTGTAATTTGGTCGGATACGACAGTGTGTCGAAATTGAGAGACCAGTTATGCCAGTATAACAAAATTTACGTAACATCTTTTGAAAACTTTTATCGATGTATTCTGTAATTGAAGCCAAATATCTATTGCATTTAAAGATTTATATTTTTAAGATTGTTCCGTAATCACAGAAAGCTTACTGGTTTTGACGTTCTATACTCGATGTTGTTAATACATGTTAAAGTACATTGTATCTTGCTATGTAAAAGAAGATTATTTTTACAACAAAATTTATGAAAAACATTTTCTTAATGCAAAAATGAAGTAAAAGTGAATAAAGGTTAAATAAGTTTATTGTATGATTAAATGTTTCATTGCAGTTAACTAATTGACAGGTTCATGTTAAAGTCGACCTTTCTTTATCGTTTTACAGTGTAAATGCTGAGTCAACTTGTAATGGATTACAAAAGTTTTCTGTTATATGTCAAAATTTTGAAAAACATGTTTTTGAAGAGCACACAGCTAATTGCACGATGATACTTGAATCTGTAATAGAGGGTTAGTCTGACCTTGAAAATTATTTTGATGTAGGAAATCAAGTAACACCACAGGGCAAAGACTGTAGATAAGATACTAGGACTACACCCTATGATTCAACCACCAATACCAAGTGTCGTCCATTCATGCCTAATGTGGTTCTCAATAATTAACAGTTTATTCAGATTCAACACATCTCGAGATCAACTTTAAAATAAAAATGCACGAATAGTGTATAGTAGATACTATTGTCCTTTTTTACAGCGCGTGACCATCCTATATATTGTCTTGCCTTATTTTTGGGCCAATTATACCTTGCCAATTCATGATTAGATTAAATACTCAGCTGTTGTGCAGATTCAGAGACGATCCTGATATGTTTTGTCATGTCACTGACCAGGAAAAGTGTTGATATGAACCACTACTACATGTAATATAATATAATTTAAAGTACATTGTTTAGCTTTATTGTGTTCTCAATGATATAACTATTATCTTATATCATCTTTTTATGTACATTAAGGAAGCTACTGAATGTGTAACGAGGTAGAATTTTAAGGTGGTATTAGGTTACTTAAGTAGTATTTGTATATTCTATGTTGAAGTTTTATGTTTTCCTTGCACCTTACATACTTGTTTAGTTGAAGTCCATTCGCCTGTTATTTTATAATTTGCGCTTAATATTATGTTATGTATTCATTTTTTATTCTACACAATTTGTATAACTATAAATACTTGCAATTTCTACTGTGCAATACTACTGTATAAGGCCAAACTTTGTGTTGCACATTCTACTTAATATATTTACAAAAGGTGTTACAGCTTGTTTTGTCTGTTTATCTTTTCACGGTGTATGAAGTTCTTTAATTTACGAGTTTTCTTTGCGTGTATGGGTGAATTAATGTACTTACATGCCAACTACATGTACCATTATTTATAATCGTTCACATTTCTGACATGTTTTGACGAAAATATAAATGTATGTTTACATTTTATCTTTAACCTGTTTAAAACTAGAATAAATTTGATCTTGCAGAACAAAAATGTACCTACTTTCTTCACTAGAGTATTTTTTCTCGAAATTACAATGTTATTTTTAATGTTATTTTTAACGTTATCTTGGAGATTTACAGTTGTGGCTATTTTCTAATGATATATTTTATATTGAGGACATATTCTATCTAAAAACAAACATCGTGGGAAATCTGAAGATTATTTAAGTCATCTTTTTGCGTTTCAAATGTTTTAAATGAAGAAACACTAGTAATAAATACAATTATTTAAAACAAAAAAATAAAAGGTTTAATCGATTTGAATTGTTCTTATAGTTGCATTTATTTTGAGGTGGACATGTTTTACTGGTTTAGAAGACTGTACTGATTGGCAATATATTTCTTTTGAAGTTCTTGTTTCAGGAGCTTTTCAGTATTTTAATTGGTCAATACAATTCCACTCAGTTCTTACTTCATCCTATATGGACGAAACAGCTATATGGTGTAGTGTAATTCATTTTTTTGCCAACTGTGCCTACTACCAAATTGTTAAACTACAATCACCTGTGTTCATGCTACGTTCATCTTTAAAAATGGTTTATGCCTTTTCTGAGACTCAATGCTGTGGAATGGTTTAAAATAAAAAGCGTCTTGCTATAAACGTTGAAAAAGTTAATTGAAATGATAGTTAAAAGGTACAGGGATATGTTTCGTTTTTAATGGGAATCGTGGAGTTTAATATAATAATTCAGTTGAAGCAATCTTTTTGCAACTCTTTATACTGCCACCATTGACTTCAATGTAGATGTTATCAGGATTTTGGCGGTATGCCGGGGAAGAATTGACATTGACCTAAGTATTGAAAAATATTAAATACAAGGAAAACGGAAACTTTGAAATAAGTTGGCCGTAATCAAAGTGGCAAGTAAAAGAAGCGCCATTATGTCCAGGTTTTACTGAACAAAATTCCACCCATACGCGATATTATGATGATAAGGTCTATCATGAAGCCGTCTTCATGTATCTAGGAGTAATTCCTATAATTACGTGATGAATGTATTGGCAATAATTTGAACAGAATTTAGACATTTGCCTTGATTTTACCTCGGTAATCGTGGCCTTTAAGAAACTAAACAACTAATCTATACTCAAAGGCATTCGTGATAAATGGTATTCACGAGGGCGGTTCTCGTGATATTCTTTAAGCTAGAAAGCGCGTCTAGAACTAGTCCGTAGATTTCGATTACTGAGGGCCACGTGAAGCTTGAACGAATTCAATTAAATTGTTAATACTGGGTCAAATATCTTATGCTTTACATCCGTTTTTATGCATTTTAACAAGAAAATATTTGTCAATAATACTTAGAAATAAATAAACCTGGAAATTATCGTAATGTTTTGCCCTTTTACTTATATTCATTGAACATCCGCCGACTTTTCCTTTAATGAAGAATAATGGAAACTCAGTATTTTAGTCAAATTGTTGAGTCATGACTCATTAAATAACACATCATTAAACATGTCTTATAGACTCGTACTGAATGTCTGAACTTTATATAATTATAATGTATGGCCCCGAGGCTTGAATACATTGAGATTTCTTATAGACCTACAGCAATTAGATAACTATTTGCTTGGAACCAGTAGGAAAAAGGATACATTTAAATGATCCTAGCAGTTGACTTATGTGAGTCAGTGCAGGTAAGGTGATGTGAAGCCAGACGCCGTGAAACAAAGATCAATACTAATTTGGGTTGGTTTTAGTTGCATTGACTTGAGCTATCTATTAACAGCTAATGTCTTTTGAAAGGAAAGGAAAAAAAAAAAAACGAGATAGAATAGGATAAAGGTCGTATGTCAACTGTCAAAGTTGTGTGTAGGTGTATTTGTTGTCAAATGGAGTTAGTCATCAGTTTGCATAATATAGAAAGAGAACACCACTGTTTGTAATTTGAGAGGATTATTTGACAGTACGCAAACTATTTGCAAAATTATTCTAAAGGTTCCTACCGCAGTCCAACCGTTAAAACAAAAATCAAAAACCCACTTTGGTTGGTTGTTCGGTAGTAAACGGCCTTGTAGTAGCTAAGGTAATTTGAAGACGGATGTTACGAGACAGCACCGAAACATTGCTTCTGGATACTGTAAAAGGTACTTATTTCAGCTGTTAGATATTGGTGTGCTGAATTCAGATTGCGCTTATTGAAGATTTTTGTTCATTGGTTTCTATTGCAAAAATATAAACTTTATTTATTTTGCTACAATTATGAAACAAGTTATTTCAACTTATATTAATCACTCTTGTTGGCCCGGATGTTAGCGCGCGGGCGGTCTTGTTGTGGGAGGAAACCGGAGTACCCGGAGAAAACCCACGTGATCGGGCAGGTGACCCCATACCTTTTCACGTCCGATCGGGGAATCGAACCCCGGCCGCCTTGGTGAAAGGCAAGTGCGCTATCCACTGCACAACCCGACCACTTTCTATTGCACATATTGCGAGAACACCAATTTTAATTTGCTATTCTGTTAAAATTCAATCACGTCAAAAATTGATAGCGCTAAATCACGCACGTTTGCAGTACAGAAAACGTTGAATGTCTTAAATTCAACAGGGTACAGTTAAAGCCAAGTTGCTGGTTGATTGGCCCTCAAAAGTTGTTGAAGGTAAGTGAGCTTTCATTCTTCGGTGCTACAAAGGAGAACGGTTAAATAAATCGTGGGACACACCCTATAGATTCACGTACGCCGATTTTTATACATATCTCGTTGGATTCCTTTTTTAAGATAATTGTAGCGTTGAATTGTCCGTAGATAGAAAGTATCGGCTAACATACATGTATACACCCCCGCTTTATGGAAATAAAGTTAAGTGGAAAGTCGTTTTAAAGAAATGGAGGTAAACGCGAGTTCTGGCAAGGGTCAATTAATGACCTAAGTATAATCAATTGGTGTAGCACTTCTGACAATATCTCTACATATGAGCTATGATGACTGGGCTATTCAGTACGCGGGAAATGAAAGTCTAAAAATAAGATGTACGGACACACACGGACCTGGCCCTATTAAATACGGACACACACGGACCTGACCCTATTAAATACCCAACGCAAACTTCGAAGAGCGACGATGAAATGTTTCAAAATACCGGAAATAATTAAGCGAGAAACCATCTTTAAGATTTTGGCATAACTGTCACTTACAGATTTGACTCGTTTAATAAAAATCCGCTTGATATTACTGTTAGCTTGTCCTTTTTTATTCATTTCCTTCTATTTTAGGAAATATCATCGACTTTAGGATCTTTATTGCCTAAACGTTTCCAAACAGATACATTAACACAGAGTAGAACTTTTTCAGATACAGATAATATTGATAGTAATTAAGTCGTATTGGGTTTTGTTCATGCAGTAAGATAACTTTTAAGTGCACTTGTTAACGAATATTCTGTGCTTTACGACAGAAAGTGTTGCTGCCACAGTTGTGCAAATGTGGTTTTGGCCATCGTCGCTGTTGATTAAATGATCAACTGGGATTGCCAATAACGGAATGGGAATCATTTATTATGTGTCTAAAAATGTCCCTACTGTATATAAACACATCTTCCGTTTTCCTTATGGTCGTTAGATCTACTGTTATCGATCTAATTGTTTGTTGGTTGACACTATACAATAATTCAACCCAATTCGTAGGAGTACTTGAACGCGGCTCCCGACATGATGTATGTGCGTGTGCGCGCGTGTATTTTAGTGCAGCCGTTAATTGTCTCCAGAGAGATAAAACATCTATAACGCTTGGGATACATACTTCCCTGTCAGCTTCTCTCTATTACTAGTTCTGTCTCTTGTTTTTTTTGTTAATCGAAATAAGCGAGGGGAAATGCGTGTTTTTCTCTACAAGAATTCACATTGAAAATAATTTTGAGAGAAAAAGACATACTTTTGTAGAACTTTCGTATACAAAATAATGGATGAAATGAGAAAAAATAATCATCAAATCTGAGTTAAAAAAGACTGCAACAGGTTCAGACAAGAACTCGAACCTTGGACCTAAATTATGCTGTAACTATAACTAACTTAACTACCTGGTTCATGGTAATACCCTGGCCCAGTTGAGCTACAGTTATCTCGAAGTCGACATTAAACCTTGGTTGTGATAAAGTTTATTGTGTTCAACGCCTGTATACAGCTAAGGTCATTGCGATGCGACTGTGTGCAAGAAAAACTACAGTGGAACTCTCTAGTGTTTTGCCTGCAGTACGGTAGGTATTCTTAAATACTGTTTACGTGCCTCTTTAACAATGATACATTTAAATTAATTGACGTACAGCAGAGGGAATGGGTCTGAATACGGATTCGTGCGAATAAAAAGACCTATGAGTGTGTTTGAAAACAGTATCCTTTTAAGGCCATTTCGTATCATAAAAGAGAAGTTAAAACAGAAAAGAAAATAATGAAGAGAAAAAGGAATGTAAATTTAAGGTGCAAGCGACTTTTTTTTAAAAAGAACGTTAACCAGCATCCCGTATTCCGGCACAATTTACTTCAATGGCGACGAGGAAATCATTTACGTCCGACAAAAGGCAAGCCGACACACAGTATCATGATGTAAGTGGGTGTTTTTTTATTGCCAGAAAAAATGGAAATGTGTGGCAAAAGACTTATGCAAAAGATTTCTCAGATTTCCCCCAAAACGTAACTTAGCCGTTGCAGGTCTGAAGGGGATGTTTGATTTAGTTTATTTAGGGTTTTTCATCATTGTACCAGATAACGTCATGCGAGGGCGGAGTCACGTGATATGGAGTCACTCAAGTGTTAACTATAAAGTACCATCTCACTGAAATGTGGTGACCTTAACACGGCAGCAAGACATTCTACCCTGTCACATTATACAACAAAATCAAAAGTCCTTACCGCCAACCAATATATACTGATGTTTAATTAAATAAAGTTTAATATAACAATCATTTTTTTTTATTTGAATGTAAATTAAATTTTACAATACATATGTACATTTATTAATTATATTAAAATTTGCCCTGTCCTATTTGACTTATTAAACACATTTATTTCATACAGGTCCAGTATAGACATTGGTCAAAGTTATATTCAATTTACAATGTGATATTCATATTGATAAGTATTTATCCAGTGATATCATATATATATATATATCCGTTATGTAATTACCAGTGTTCATCCCATAACAAGAAATATAGTTTCGGTTGTAGCAGCTCTGAGAGAAAAAAATGCCCAATCGGATTAAATGACTAAAGACGCTTCTGCTCCCTCAAATAAAGACTGTACACCAAATTGAATACCTGATTTAATAGCTCTTGTATCGGATGATTGATGGATTCTATTACGGAGTGATAGTGTCGGTTGGACTATCTACTTGTCGCATTGTAAAGTGGGAGGCTCGCACTACGTTGTACTCGGGATACTGTATTCCGTCTTTGCGTATTGCAGAGTTATCTTCTCTTGGGAGCAGGTATTGATTGTTACGTCATTGGTTTGTGCGAGAAAATTACGTCGTTTTCTCAAAAAGTGATGACGTTACTCTCACAAACAAGTGACGTAACAATCAATACCTGCTCCCAAGAGAAGATAACTCTGCAATACGCAAAGACGGAATAATAAGACCTGCTTCTTGCGTAAAACTGTTCGAAAAGGCAATATATCAGCCCTTGACTCCTATTAACCATATTCCTTTCGTACCTAATCTGTTCGAGTCATGACAGCTCATCCCACTGGATAAGTCTTAGTTGAATTTTCAGCATTATCCATGTTGTTTTTGTTTTGTGTCGTGTGTTCCATTATTCCGTCTACATTGTACTTTTTGCGGCGATCGCTTCCTACACGAGTCCAAATGTTTCCATTGGGGATGACAAGTATACACTTTATACAAAAATCGATTGAGCAGGACTGATTTCATTTTGCTGCAGAGTCTAAAAATTCAAGACGTTGTTTAAAAACACACGAGCCCAATTCCATGTCCTCCATATTCCAGAGGTTCGAATCGTATTTATTTCTGTATAATAAGGGAAAAAACAGAACCACTAACTAGTTATGTAACTAAGTAACCACAGTATGGGGAATGGCATTGACATTGATAGTCAAGCGTTCGTTCATAATGAGATGTGTTTAAACCACAAACTAAGGTATTGGATAAACCACAAACTAATATAAGGTATTGGATAAAGCAATCGGTCCAGAAACTGTCGTTTTGCCGAAATTAAATTTGCCTTTGATTTAAAAGATTAATAAAAATGGAATTCGGACGATGGATAAATCGAAGCCCTTTCTCTTAAACTGGGCAGCAGATCAATCGGCATTATTCTGTAGTTAACAGAAGTTGTGTTTCTCAAATATTGTTTGTTTTAAAATGTAAAGAAAAAAAGAAAATTTACATAAACATGATTTTGCAAGAGAAATGTTGGTAATATCCATCATACGCGTAGAAATACAACAGAGAAATAGGATAACAAAATTTGCTAGCGTTTTGTTACTTAATCTGCATTGACGTCACACCGAGTTTTCGGACTGCATGGCGTCAATAACGTCAACACTGCGTGAGCAATAGTTATTATGGACATAGAGAGACTGTAGTGACAGTCGCGATCGTGGTCCTGATAACGGCGGTGCACTGCAGTTCTGTCTACCCATGCTGAAGCGCCTCGTGTTGTTGGTCATAAGGTACGTGTGTTCGAGCTGACTTCTGCGCCGGGATATTCTTGTCCAGTTCGCGGCAGTTGTAGACTCGTTGATGGTTCCTGATGACTGCCTCTTAAAATGAGGATCTGCAACAGAGTTGTTTTTTTTTTGTAATGAATATTTTTTATTTTATTTTGGTTCACACAAAGCCAGTACAACATATTACATGATCATGTATATCATTTCAATAGTAATTGTTAAACAATACTGTTTCTTTCTACCATTACTTTTTTTTTCTTATTTCAGGTAATTGCTAATTAGTTAAATAACTGTTCCAATGGGCGCCATTTTTCAGTTACTTCGTGAACTTTTTTTGATCTGTATAACTTGTAAGCTAAATATCTCGATGGTGTATTAAGACACCTTCTATTGACGGTATACTAGACTTACATTTACAGATGTATATGTAACGTCTTATTATCAAAAAGCAGAAATTTAGCAATGCGTTATTGTTTTCGCCGGAGTAACCTAAGATGGCGTTCTTTGTACTTATTTCAATTTCTATATTACATCTTACATATAGTAAGTCTGAAAAGTTCTCCAAATAGTGCACACATGAATACATTGCCACAAAAGATGATACATATCTTCATCTTCATAGTTACAGAAAGTACATTTTTTATCATCTTTTATACAAAATTTAAACAGAAGCGTATTTGTGCATAGTATTCTGTGATAGATTTTATACTGATAATATTGTAAAATGACATCACGAGTGCAACTCCTTGGTATCGAGTAAATACATTTCCAGTTAATATCTAAATTTGTAATGTCTTGAGACCATTTTCCCATTGCCTTTTGGTTTGTAGTTAAAATTGTAGAGACTAATTTTGAATAAAATATATTAGTGGGTTTCGTCAACGTTCTTATTAGCGTTATATTTTCTTTATCTCTAGTATTATTACTGCCCCGATTACTAATTGACTTTTTTCCATGTACCTGGGATGGCTGTTGTAACACCATAAAAACGGATTCTGTTCATGTCCGGAAAATTAAAGTTTTCTTGAAATTTCCGAAAGGTCATTATGTTGCCATCGTTTTCAAATATATCTGCTACCTTATTTAACATAAGAGAGAATGTTTAAGTTTCCATATTTTTCTAATTGATCTAACAGAAGTAGTTTCCAGGGAGATGTATTTTGAGTATCGAGTAATTTCTTTATCCAAGTAAATTTTAAAGCTTTAATAAAACTTTCTATGTCTATCATTTTCATTCCACCGTTTTCGTAACTATTTTTTAACGTAGTTCTCTTAATTTTGTCTGTTTATCATTCCATATAAAATTAAAACAGATATGTTCTATTTGTTGAACAATATGGCACAGTGGATTTGGTAAAACTGTAAATAATTGCACGAGAAAAGGGATAGCAAGTGACTTAACAACGGTTATTTTTCCAGCTATGGTAAGATTTCTAAGCGACCAGTGTTTTAGAATACGAGTAATTTCCGCTATTTTATCATCATAATTAACAAAAGTTGTTTTAGTTTTACTAAGGTCGTTCTTGATACCAAGGAGTTTAAACTTTCCAGTAAAATTCCATTTTAATCCTCTTTCAGCTCATGTTTTTTCGTGGCTACCCTTTTCCGTAACCTAGCCATATTGCCTCCGTTTTATCATGGTTTGCTCAAAGACCAGAACATTTGCCAAATGAATCTAAAATATCTCAAGTTGTTTTCAATGGAGTATCATCATCTTCAAGACTAATAGTAGAATCGTCCGCATACTGCCTCACAAGATTTCTGTTTCACCTATTTTTATGCCATTAATATCTGGAGAAAATTTTAATGTAGCACTTAGTATTTCTACTACCATGATAAACAAATATGGCGACAGAGGGTCACCTCTTTTGATCGGGGAAAAAATTGAGCAAAATCCGTTATCTATTACGCAACTGGTGACGTCATTATAAAAAAGTCTTAACCATGTTTTAAAATTGCTACCAAAACCAAAGAAGTCTAAAGTTCTATCGAGAAAAACCCATTCCACCGTATCGAAGGCCTTTTCAAAATCGATTAAAGCAATATTCTTGTTATATCTTTCTGAACTGTTTTCTCGATTAAATCATAAATAATTCTTGTGCATTCGCCTATGTATCTTCCTTTAAGAAAACCCTTTTGTGTGTCGCGGATGAAGTTATTTAAAACTGATTTTAATCTGTTTGCCAATACACTGGTAATAATTTTATAATCTGCATTCAGTAGCGAAATTGGACGCCAGTTCTTTAAAAAATCTTTTGCTTTGTTTATTTTGTGCACTTTTCCCCTTCCATATTCCACCTAGTCTTTGCTCTGATCATTAGTTCCCGTATTCGTTCTTCCCTAAAATTATATAGTTCCAATTCTTTTGCTTCCAAAATATTTAAGGTTTCTTGATTTTCAAAAATCAATGGGTCGGTTTGTAATTTCAAAATTGTTTCTTTCTTTGTCTTGTTTTTCCAACTTGCATATGCTATAGTTTTTCCACTTATGGTCAATTTGATAACTTCCCACAAGAGTTGATCATTTACTGAAAAAACTTGCATTGTCAAAATTGTTATTATTTCACCGATTGTATAATCATTAAGAACTTGGTTTATTACACTTTTAACATTTTCAATATGATCATGCAGCAATGCATTGTTGAATTTCCACGTTCCTCGTCCCGTTTCATGGTTATATAGTTTTAACTTAACAATAATTGGTGCATGATCTGATTTATATTTAATACCTATATCTGAAAACGTGACAAGAGGCTGAAGATCAGATGAGATAAGGAAATAATCTCAACGGCTACATTTTCCACCTGGACCAAACCAACTATACCTCTTTACCTCTGGATGTTGATTTCTCCAAATATCAATTAAATCAAATTCTTCCATAATGTCAAGTATAGCTGCCCTTGCATTTTTATTGTTTTCTCTAGAATATTTATGTGTATATTTTTCAAAAGACATAACCGCATTGAAGTCTCTCGTAATAATAACCGAGTCGTTATCAAAGAAGTCAATATTTCTTTTCAGACGGTGAAAAAATTCAGGAGAGTCAGTATTCGGACCATATATACATGCAAGAGTTAATTTTTGATTCTGAATTGTAATGTCAAGAATAATGAAATTGCCAAACTCATCCGTTATGTCTCGATGAATAGTATATTCAGAACTTTTGTTAAATAATATAACAATACCACGACTATTTGAAGTTGAGGAGCAAACATGACAGTCTAAACCCCATTCATGTTTCCATTGTCGTTCCATAGATGTTTTTGAATGAGTATCAATTAATATAGAAATATCATATTTTTATTCCTGCATAGGTCAAAAATATCTTTTCTCTTTATACTGTCTGATAAACCACTACAGTTCATACATGCTATATTTAATTCACCCATTTATATCTGTTACAAACATCCGAAGGTAGAAATTATGTTCTCCTAGATAAATCAATACATTGTATTGCACTAACCAGTGACTCGAGTGTAATATTAAAAGTTTACTACATGTCTTGTGTGAATCAAACCGAAGGTAATTCCCTTCTGTCCTCACCTGACCTTCCCCGTCCCTCCCTGATACCCCAAACATCCAAAGTATGTAAACTTTATAAATAATCCTTACATTGTACTTCTAGGTAGAGGTACCCCACTCGGACGACCTCAGTGTAATAATACATTTATCTTTTGTCTTGCCATCAATAAACTAAGGTGTACAAAACATATGGAACATCCTCAGTTGTTTCTGTTTTTTATGACATTCGATATCTATTGAGTGCCCCTCGCCTGTGAGCTCGTGTACATTACCAATATATGCCTATCGTTTTTGAAAGACAACACAAAACTGCATTATTGTATACAAAAGGGAAAAGCTTGTACGAGACTATATATTTTCATGATGTACTGTGAAACGTCCTCATCCCACTTTTATCTCATTTTTATTTCATCTACAATCAGTTAAACACTGTGAGAAAACGCATTAGTGCTGCACGTTCAGTTTTGTAGCTTCGACGATAGCGTTTAGAAGATTCAAATAATATACTTAACTGTATCTTAAGATTACGTGGCATGAAAACGTTCCACAGTACTTGGCCTCAAATACGTCTTTTACCCTATTTATATAGCATACAGACCGACAAACGCAGCTACACCCAAACCATTACAAGCAAAAGCAAAACAAACAAACATTGTTTGTGTAAATTGTTTGGGTAACAGAGTAATTAATTAATGAAATTAATACGTGCTTGACGGCCCATCAACGCAGGAAAGGCTATTAGGGCCAATAAATGGTCAATAAAATCAAAAGTATAATGAAAATTACATTCAAAACGAAAAGTTTTCGGTTCAGTTTTATTTGTTTACGTCCTATTACCAGCTAAGGTCGTTTAAGGACGTGCCTCCATGCGTACATATGTGTATGTGTGCTGGAGGCAGGGTATGTTGGTGTAACTGCCTCCTTGTGAAATCACGGATCTAAAGGTGAAAGACAACGGTAAACTTGAATACTATAATTGGTTATGGTGACGTGTCTTTTGAGACAGACCAACATGTTTCAGATAGCTTAATGTTGTAAAGAGTTATTTGTTCGATAAAACAGAATAAGAAAACAAATATATCCGTTAATTATGATTATCAACATATATACATGTTTTAAATCTCTAAGATGAAGCAGAACAAGTATATAATATTATAATCTTAACTTGAAAGCAAGGCAAACAAGTCAAACATAAACAAAACGGCAAATTATGAAAACATTACATATACTATAATGATCTTCTAGGACAAAATTATTAAATGCGAACAGACTTCAGCATAAGTTTTTTGTCCATGAAAACAACCCCGAAACATTGTCATAATATTATAGTTTCTTTTTTCCTCTCTTCTTTCCTTCTTGTGAATATAATTTTAGCGCCAAGAACGATTTTTCTCAAGACTGCAAACAGGTTTTTTTTATTCAAACTGCATATATCAGTTTGATATTACTTCATTAAGTTTTTTTCGGTTGATGATTTGCGATCTGGCTCTCTCAGTGCTACAATGGCAAAATGATTGAAATCGGTGAGTAAAAAACAAATCACACACAATTTAAACTTGGATAATGGTGTCCCATCCTTGACTTCT